AATGGATTATTTGGAAGGTGCTGCAAGGAAACTTCAAAAACAGGGAAAGACTGGTGTACTATCTGGAGAAGTCAGCTCCACTTTATATTAGTACAAGCTATGTTGAAATCCAGGTTGGATACAGTTTGTTTAATTAGTAGAATTAGTTCACATTGTACTTGTAAACTTTTTCTTAGAATTGTTTTATGAGTTTAATGATTAAATAGGTGGTAGACCTAGTTTTGTAATTCATTGAACCCTGTAAATGTAAAAACTGTGAGTTGATCTTTAGTGAAAAAGTTTTTTGGGCATAACCCCGTAGATTAGGAGGTTTTCTCCAACTGCATTATCAAATTTAGCTGTATACTTATTTAGGTGCTTCATTTATTGCTTTATATTATGTTACATAATCCCTTGTCATATCTTTTTTTTTTTTGCCACAATGGAATTTGTTTGGGACGGTATATCTGCAAAGTAGTTTATTTGCCAACGTAAATGGCATGTTGAAGAATTTAATGCTAGAACGGACCTGATTAGGACGCTTGAAAATGCTAAATTGTCTCAAACTATTGCCAAGGTTGATCGCTTTGTTAGGTTTGTGGTCTTTGAATTTTACACCAATTGACTAAATAGGGTAAAGCTTATGTGCGGGGTCAATTTTATGATTTCAACCCTAAAATAATCTATGATTATTTTGGGTCATTTGACTATGATGATGAATTTGTGGAAGACATGGATACAATTACTAATAGATTGACAGGTGGAAATAAGACCCGTTGGGTATCTAAAGACTCAATCAAGGCTGTGGAATTGACCTCATCTTTTGCTTTTTCACATAAGATTGCCCATGTCAATTGGATGCCTACCACACAACGTGGATATGTTAAGAGAACGATGGCAGTTCTATTATTTAAAGTTGCTTGTGGCCTAAAAATCTATCTAGGTCAACTCTTATTTGACAAGATCCTTGAAGCAAGGAACGGAAATACTGGGAGGAAGGATCTTATTCTACGTAACCTTATCTATAGCTTGCTAGTGATACAGGGTTTTCAAAAGGACCCATTTGAGTTTTATGAAGCCGAGCCAGCAATTATAAAGGTCGATCAACGCCTTCTCATGGGATCACATTTTGATGACCTAGACATGCCAGAGTTTGCTAATCATGCTGGTCGTTCATCACGTGACACCGCTACCGAATTGACCATTGAGTTCCTTGAAAAGGAGTTGTGCTCACTTTCCCATCAACAAAGGGAATTGGTAGATCGGGAGGTTCAAGTCCAGAGTTTTCTACTAAAACTGAAGGGATTTGGTAATGTGGATAGTGATGAACACAACCATGTGTGTCCTGATGACACATCTTCTAGTTCCACAAGTTCTTCATCAGATTAATTCTATGAGGATCAGCTCATTGGTAATGTTTAGCTTTAAGCAATAGTGTTGTTCAATTTGCAAGTATTTTCTCTAGAGCATATTATTGATAGTATGTGGATAGTATATCATGTTGGCTCCACTCTAAACAAAATTGAAATGCATGTTGCCCAATTTTTTCCCACTCTACATTCAACTATTAATAAAAATTCCTTGTTCTTGTTTCAACACTCCAACTACACATATTACTCTTGAGCTTTATATGACATTATTAAACCAGTGCATGTTTATCCTGTTTACCTAGAAGAGGGCTAACCGGTGTCTGCTACGGCTCTTAAAGGACCCAAGAACAACCAAGAGTGAAAGTTGTATAGTGTAAAATGCTTCATTAACTAGAAGAGGGATACCCGGTGTTTGTCATGGTTCTACAGAATCCTAGAACAGCTCGGAGTGGAAGCTATCTAGTGTTCGGTGTTCCTCAAACTGATTACCTAGAAGAGGGCTACTCGGTACTTAATATGGATCCACAAGGACCTGAGAAGAGTCCGGTGTGAAAGTTTTCCAGTGTTGATATACCTCTCATATACTCCCATTGTCAACCTCTCCACTGATTACTTGGAAAAGGGCTACCCGGTACTTAATATGGATCCATAAGGACTTGAGAAGAGTCTGGTGTGAAAGCTTTCCAGTGTAGATATACCTCTCATATACTCCCATTGTGAACCTCTCACATTTCATAATCTATCTACATCTTATCGATTGCATGCTCTTAGTTGGATTTTCTTGCATGGTTCAATACATGTTGTTGTGGTTATGTTACCTTTTTGGCAAATGTTTATAAAAAGGGGGAGACATGCTATGTATTGAAGGGTAGATTGTGTATGAATTAAGGGGGAGAACTTGATGTACATTTGTGTATGAATTGAGGGGAGGACTTGTTGTACATTTGTAAACGGAGATCGTTTGTGTGTTTGACCAACATATGCCAAAAAGGAAAATTGTTAGTACGAAAATATATTAAAGTAGTATAATTATGAATATAATAATTACATTAGTTTAATTTATTTTAGTACTTTTTTATTTTATTGTTGGCATATGTTGATTCAATTATTATTTTGTTGAAAATAATACCATATATGGAAAGATTAGGGAGCTATATGTATGGAGAAAATGCTGAAGACAATGGATTGCTAAAATCTCTCGAGATAATGTGTGATGGAGAAAATTTCTCACCAAGGCTTTAGGTGGTGAAGACATGGGATTAACTTCCCTAATTTTGAGGTGTATGTCCAAGACCCTATAAATAGGAGAAATATAAGGAAGAAAATTGAAGTTTCCAAAAAGAAAAGATAGCAATATTATTCTAGAAGGTGCTACAAGAGATTCTTTGGAAGGTGCTGCAAGGAAACTTCAAAAACAAGGAAAGACTGGTGTACTTTCTGGAGAAGTCAGCTCCACTTTATATTAGTACAAGCTGTGTTGAAATCTAGGTTGGTTAGAGTTTATTTAATTGGTAGAATTAGTTCAAAATGTACTTGTAAACTTTTTCATAGAGTTGTTTTATGAGATTAATGTTTAAATAGGTGGTAGGCATAGTTTTGTAATTCATTAAACCTTGTAATTGTAAAAATCGCGAGTTATCTTTAGTGAAAAAGTTTTTTGGGCGTGGCCCCGTAGATTAGGAGGTGTTCTCCAACTGCATAATCAAATTCAGCTGTGCACTTATTTAGGTGTTTCATTTATTGCTTTATATTGTGTTACATATCTGCATTACATAATTTCAACTATGTTTTGTTGGCCTTACAGAAAAATGGCATTTATCATTTTTGTGTGGATTACTGTGTTTTAAATGCCATCACTATATAGGACAACTTCCCGATTCCCACAGCTGACAAGCTATTTGACGAGCTCGGTGGAGCATCCATTTTTCCTTAGTTGGATCTAAGAGTGGGTTACCAACATATAAGAGTTTTTGAGGAGGAAATATTTGAAACACGAAGGTCAATACGAGTTCCTGGTTATGCCTTTTAGTCACACGGACGCATCATTAACTTTTTAAGCTACTATGACCACAATCATAGCACGTACTTATAGAGGTTTGTAATTGCCTTGTTTGATGATATTTTAATCTATAGTTCATCTACGGAAGAACACATTGTCAATGTTCGTGAAGCTTTCCTATGTCTCTAGGACAACATCTTTTATTTGAAACTGTCCAAATGTGTCTTTGGCCGTGATTCCATGGGATATCTTGGCCACATCATCAATTAGGGGCGGATATACATGGATTCTAAGAAAGTAAAGGTAATTCTCACATGTCCCATTCCGAAGAATATCAAGCAACTATAAGGATTCCTTTGATTACAAGATTTAGAGAAGATTTATTAAAGGATTCGCGGATATTGCAGCTCCTCTCACTGATCTCTTAAAGAATGATAGCAACAAGTGGGGACCTAGGGTTGATCACACATTATTACAACTCAATGAGACATTGGTGTCTACTTCAATTCTGACCTTAGGAAGGCTAATTTTCAAAGTCATTCGAGGTGGAGGTCGACGCATATGAAACTAGCTAGTATTGGTTCGGTGCTTATTGATGAAGAGTATTTTTGCATGGTGATATTTGTGTGAGAGGGTATCCTCACACAAGATATCGTTCTCAAAGGATTGGCGATAGGAGCCAAGCTATTGCATCTCAAGTAGAAGGTATTACTTCTTCTATTGGAAATCTAGCAAAAAAACAAAGGGTTGGATAATGCAAATAATGAAAACAACAAGCAAAGGAATTAGATGACAATAAAAGAGAAAATAGAGGAAAATAGGAACTTGGATTAGGACTAGAGCTGTCGAAATGGGCCGGCGTGGTGAGCCCGCCAAAGCCTGCAATATGGAGGGGCTGGGATAAAAGAACACACCAAAATACGGGCCTAAAATAGGTTGTTCGCCACGCCTCGCCTCAGGACTCGGGCCTTGGCGGCGACTCGCCAAATTTTAAAAGTTTTAAATTCAAATAAAAATTATTATGAAAATGTTAATATGTGTATACTAAATTAATTAGTTTTAACATTTATTAATCATTAATGCATTTGTAATTTGTTAAACACAATAATAACTAATATAGTAATAAGTCCTAATCAAATACATATGTGAATCTATAAGGCAATAACAAATTTTTTATACAATGTACTACTTAATAATATTTTTTTCAATACAAATAAATAAATTAACATATACTTATATATATATATATATATATATATATATATATATATATATATATATATATATATGTGTGTGTGTGTGTGTGTGTGTGTGTGTGTGTGTGTTATACACTGATATTAATAATGTAGACATACAAGGCGGGCTTGGCAGTCCCCCGCCGGCTTGCCAAACCCGCCATTTTGACAAGGTGAAGTTAAAAAGTCTGTCAAAATACGGGTCATAAATTCAAAGACCGCCTCGCCTTTTCTAGCAGGGCAGGATGGGCTAAGCCCGATTTTTACGGCTATAATTAGATCAAGGAAACCCAATTAAATTGGGAACAATAGAAAAAGTCAATTGATTAGATAATAGATGTCATATAATTAGGAGGAAGCATTTCTCAAGGTTATTTTCTTTAATTAGAATACTATTTTTTATTTGTTTGTTTTCCCTTTTTTACATTAGGAATAACACTTTATTGCATTTAGTAGTACTATATTTGTGAAGATCAGAGTTAGGCAATAGGCATACATATACTTTCAAATCCAATCCTTCCCGGATATAGACCAATCTACAAAGTATATGATGACAAACTCCCAGAACAAAAAGAACAAAAGTGGAAGAAGCTATATATAACGTCCTAAGCCGTGGCTGAAAAGAAAGCCAGAGCCCCGACAAACGGAGCATTGATGTAGGTAGCAGGCTCGGATTGCTGATAGTTATTCCTATCATCCGCGAAATTGTCTCTATTATCAGGACCACCTACGACGGCTCCCACGAGAGTGTTCGGATTAGGCAACGCCGAGTTTAGGTACTGGAATCCATCGTTGCAGCCAATGCGAGCAGGGTGATCCTTCACCGACGGCACCGACGACCCTCTGTGGTGCACATGCTGCGGATACCTCTGCCCGAACCCCACCATGTACGACATTCTTGCCGGATTATCCCCTAATATGTAGTCCACCTGCTTCTTTGCTAGTGCTACCAGCTTCTCTGCGGCGAAAGTTGATGCCCCGCAGTTTACGACTCCGCCGCCATTTGAGCTTAGGTACTTGGCATAGGTTAGCAGGAGAAAAGACGTTGAGGTTACGTATTGGAGGTTGCTTCCACTTTCTTTGAACAGAAGTCCCCCTGGGGTGTATTGAGCTTGGACGCTAGGCGACTCGGGAATGAGAGAGCAGATATAGTTGTCTGAGTGTGCCTTGTATAGCTCATACCCTTGAGTGTTCTTCTCCAAGAATCTCTGTTACATTAGATGATTAACGAATATGTGTGGCAGAAAATAAAGTTGTTATAGTGTTTGGCGATTACATCCTAACAGAATTGAAGAGTGAGGACAGAAACCTGGGAAAGCAGAATCTTGGTGGCGGGACGTTTGTCGTCCCAACTGAAGGAATACACATCATCGGTTGCGCCCAATGTTTGACCATTTGATTGGATGTAATCTTGATACGAGGAGATGTCTGAAGCTTTATAAAGCCAGGCGGCTCCCCACAGAAGCTCATCCTTCATAAAACACAAATTAAAGCAGTCAGTTAATGGTCAACATTATTAAGCAAACTAAGTTTGAGTTGGCTTACATGGTAGCCGGAGTATGAGCAGTAGAAGGGGCAGACAACAGAGCTAAGGGAATCGCTGTAAGCACCCCTATATTTGTCTGCAAAATCAAATACCTGCAAATATATGCATGCATTAAGTTCATGAGTGTATGTATATATATATAAGCTTAATTTGATTGTGTTGAAACTTGACACCCAAGCTTAAATTGTTACTTTGGTAGCAGTAGTGAATAATTGAGAGGAGTAAGCAGGGTCGGAATCTTTGAAGACGATAGAGGCAGCAGCCAATGCTGCGGCAGTCTCCGATGCAACATCAGATCCTGGATTTTGAGGGGTCACTTTGTAAACACTGCGCTGTGTGTCCATGTCCTCTGGTCTCTCCCAGCACTTGTGGTCACCGTTCGGGTCACCAACCTGCAGTTTCATGGAAGTAAATATAATGTATCTCCATTTTTGTTGGGTGGACAACTCTAGCACTTGATGGCTAGGGATTGTTGGGCGGAGGTTGGTAAAAGACTTAAAGGGTCAAGTCCAGCACTCAGCCTTCGGAAAATGTAATGCCATTTCGAAATAAAGTTGCACCTTGACTACTCACTACAACTTTTGGTCTTTTGGTCTAGTGGTAAGCTGAATTATAACAAGTGGTATCAGTCACTGACTTGGACGTATAGAGTGTCAGGGGAGGCTGTGGCGGCTTTGAGCAGATAATCTGAGCTCCAACGAATGGCAGCTTTGGCATTCTCAAGTTGATTGTGCATGGAGGCGTCATTGCCAAACTCAATCACACTCCAGGCTAAGAGAGTGGTTGTGAAGGCCATTGGCAGCCCGAATTTAATGTTGTCTCCTGCATCATAGTATCCTCCTACCAGGTCAACCTGAACAAATTAAACAAATTAAATAAAAAATATATATTTAACGAGCTGAGAAACTGCAACTATAAGTTCTGGAATCGAAATATATACATGGTAACCGGAGCCATCGGACAAAGCAGAGTCACCCCGCCAGTTAAGACGCTGATCTGCAGGCAATTTGCCAGACCTCTGCCCTTCGAAGAACAGAATGGACTTTTCAAGAGCATCAGAGTAATCTTGGGAAGTAAAGGCAGAACAAGTTGCGGTGAAGAGGAAGAAGAAGAAGAGGGTATTAGTGCATAAAATATGCATTTTGAAATACTGTAGTGTACGTGAGTTTTTATTATGGGATGCTCTTAGATCTTGTGAACTTATTGCCCATGCATTATATAGATGGCAGGCGGTTGAAAAGTTGAGTTTTTTTTTTTTTTTTTTTTTTTTTTTTTTTTTTGTGTGGTTGTAGTGCATCCGGAGATAATGCATAAAGTCAATAATAAAAACCAAATGTGTAGAATGGCTGCGAGATATCTTACGTACGTACGATAACCAAATCATGAATTATAAGTTATTCTTAGAGTTCCACTAGCTAGTTGATTGCCAGTTACATAATATCGGATATATGTAATTATATTTGGTTTTTTGTTTTATTGAGGTTGATCCAATATAAACTTAAAGACATGGTGTGCTTAGACTTTTATTGAGTAAATAATAGTAAAACGAGAATGCTTGAGCCAATAAGGTAGAAACTAGAAATTTAAGTGTTTTTTTTTCAAAATGAGAGTGTGTATTCCCCTTGTAATTTTGGGGTTTTTTTTACATACAAATTATTGCAAATCTTTACTCTTTAATAGCTTAAGCAATGATTGTAAAAGCAATTACAAGTATTTTTATTTAATTTGAGGAACTTCGAGAACAAACCACGTTGATGATTTAAAATATGTCAAGGATGAAGCTCTTTAGTTGGTCGAGGACGAAGACCCTTGATTTATCGAGGGTGAGAACCTCTATTCTATCAAAGACAAGACCCCTTAATTATCTGTCAAGGTTAATTAAGGTCTTTTGGTTTAGTAAGGCTGAAGAATACTCCTGATTAGAGGAATACAAGGACTTGATCTATTGAGGATGATATGATGAACTTTTTTTTGCTCTTTGGTTGAGGAAACGAGCAAGGGTGTTTGTATTAGAACATGTCTAGTCCTCTTCGATCTTATATAATGCGTATATATACTTCTTTTTTTGTATTAGATACTATCAATACTAATATTAATAATACCATATACAATTAGGTATACCACATATAGATATTCTTGAAAAGAGTTATGTATCCTAATTGTAAGAAAAGACAAATTAAACGAAGACAAAAAGACAAGAATTGAATATGATAGAGATATATAGACACTCATTGTATTTTTTTTTAAGTAGATGGTCACTGTTAAATCTCATGTCCAACAAGCTCCAATATAATAATAATCCACACATTTTCTTGTATCATATCCCATCAATTGATTGGTTTCAGATCGCATGATGTTATTGAGGTGCGTGATTACAAGTCCAAATTAAAGCAGTAGTGACATTTTTGTCAGAATTTATGAAATTCCGAAACAAACATTAATTCTACTTTGTAGCTAGGGTGTGCCAGTCACGGATGCTCAACATGTGATACCTCCATTCTGAATTAATGCAAGTCTTAAAAGGAAAGGTTAACAAAGACTCAACGCAAACAATCAAAAACCTGAAAGTCATCAATTTGTCTGTTACGTTTGGCGGGTGATATGATCGTAGCTCCATGAACCGCAGAACCGGCCTATAAATAGTTCGACTCATTTAGACATTTAGTCATTATGGAAGAAGATATGTCATGTGATTGAGACCTAACCCACCGTTAAGGATTTCACATGCATGTTTTCTTTGAAAACAACAACGTTTGCGGCGTAAAACAATGGTCGTGCACGTACATTGATTTCTTAAGTGCCCTTCCTCTTTGGAAGGAAGACTCACTATCACGTATAGGACATTTGGAACTTCCAAACGTAATGCAAAACTATTGACTGTCATTGGTCAATTTTTCAATCAAGTCAAACTAACTAAAGTCAAATTATACATTTGCCAAAACTTAAAGATTTTTCCCTCTCTAACATAGGGGTGTAAATGAGTCGAGCAGATCGCGAGCTGCTTGTGAGCGGCTCGGTCAAAACTCGGTTTAAACTCGGTCAAAATCGAGCTCGAGCCGAGCTCGAGCGGCTCATTTAGTAATCGAGCTCGAGACGAGCCTAGATATTCTAGGCTCGTGGCTCGTCGAGCCGCTCGTGTGCCATATAATATATTATATATAATACATAATATAATATAATATAATATAATAATATATAAAAATAACAATTAGAATTAAAATTTTAAACTCAAAATCCATAAAAGATTTCTATCATTTATGTATGGAAAAAACAAAGTAGTTTGAATTTTAAATCAAAAGTATTAAATATGTCAAATTCAATGTCAAAATCGAGCTCGAACTCAAGCTCAAGATCGAGCTCGAGTTCGAACTCGAACAATCGAGCTGCTCGAGCTCGATCGAGCAGCCCGAAAATTACCGAGCTCGAGCTCGAGCTCGAACTCGAGCCGAGCTTCCATTAACGAGCTCGAGCTCAAGCCTACCCAAGCTCGAGCTTGGCTCGGCTCGTTTACACCCCTACTCTAGCATTGGTCTAGGGTTTTTTCTCTCCTCCTAGGGTTTTCCTAGGTTTTCTTCACGTTTCATATGTTTTTCTCCGGTATCTCTCTGGTGTTTCACCCGTTTTTTTTTTTCGTCTACTGGGCTCCGTGCTTTGTTTGTCTTACTGCATGACGTCGTCAGGTCCGGGAGGCAGCGTGGCCGGTATAACAGCCCGTTGGGCAGATATGGCTTTGCAGGAGGAGAAAGCGGTGTTCGAACCGGCGATGTGACACCTCGTCAATCTATCCTTTAAACCTGAATTAATTATTTAATTAATTCATAAATTTCTCATCATTACTCTAATGATCTCCATTAAATTTGGTTAAGGGAACCAAGTTTGATCCAAATCCCATGATTAATATGGTCAATGGGTTGGACCTTGATATATTAATTTTGGCCCCAATACCTTTTATCTAAAATAAAGCATGTTAGCCTCTTTAAATAAAATAAAAGGGCCCACTTGTGATCAAATCAGTTTTAGGCCTTGTTACCCAAGTTATAACCTAAAATCCCTACTCCCACACTTAACAGAAACGGAAATCAAACTCAACCCTACATCTCTCTCTTACTCGAAATTCTCCTCTCCAAACCTAAGCAAAGAATTCTTCATCTTTTCCACCATTGAAGGCTACCAAGATTGGACTTTTCCCTATCACCAAGCTTAGGAAAGATCACTTGGAAAGGGACCTTCAAGAAGGATTTTATGAATTGTGAGAGGTTTGAATAGGCTAATAAGGTAACCCATGTCTTACAAAACCTATTTTCTTTGCTATATTATGATTTAATGGTATCCTTGAATGATTGAATGCATTATCTTGTGATTGTGCTTTGATAGAGCTTGTATTTAGGATTTGTTAATGCTATTCTTTGAGCTATTCCATGTATTCAAGTCCATATTATTGTTGATGTGAGTTTTGATATGTTAGGACTTGAAATTGTGTATTCTTGGTAAATTCCTGAAGAGGGGAAAGTTTGCCTTAGCTGAGGTACCGGCGGGTGGTCGTCCACCCGCCGTACCACCCGCTGGAACATGGGACAAAGTCCGGTGGGGGGCCGGCGAGTGGTCGTTTACCTGCCGCTCCACCCGCTACTCCACCCGCTGGAACATTGTTGTAAATCCGGCAGGTGGTCGTCCACCCGCCGTACCACCCGCTGGTACATGACGTGCGGCGATTTGTTAGCCTCCGTTGGTCGATCCCCGTGTACGTGAATATCTTCTTTGATATCCCGTAAGTCTAGAACGATGTCCTAAGTACCGTAATAGGATTTGCGAGTCTTGAATCATGTATGTGGTCCAACTTTTTAATTCGTTGGATTAAAGTAAAGTATATGATGTTTCTTATGAGTTTTATGATTATCTTGATGTCACTTATTGTCGTGAGCTTGTACGTATGTGTACTTTTCCTTGATTATCCTTTGAATAGGTTATTGTTGAGCCTTGAATGTTATGTTGATGTCTATGAATGATGAATGGAAGGAGATTGGTGGTAACGAGCTGCGTGCTCAAAATGATTGGCGGTATATTGCACTGCGTGTGCTTATGATACAGCGCTGCATGTGCCATTATGAAAATGTTTATGAAAAGCTGGCAGAAAAGTAGGCGGGGAGCATGGCTCCGGAGGGATAAGGTTGGACTGGTGTACAAGGTGGTCTCGGAGGTAAAGGTTGGAACTGTTATAAGGATGGAGTGGAGTAAAGGTTGTAATATGGTATAAGGTTGGAACTTGGAACGTGTAACTTGGTTACCGTTTGTTATTCTTGTAACTTATCATTGTCTTGTCGTGTCAATTCTATTGGTATATCATGAGTTTGATTGGCTTAATGAGTGTATCCTCCAATGGGTCAATGTTCTGATTTTAAAGCTAGAGTTGTTAAGATTATACATATGTATTCACAAGTCTCAACTGATTTTCTTATATAATATATACATATTGTACTCAACGCGTTTGAGTGGGTTACTTAGCAATTCTCGCTAACGATTGCTACACCATATGTTTTTCAGGTACAGACTAGTTGGTACAAGAGAGCGCTAGATGGAGCTGTGGTTTCTAGTCTTAGTTCGTGATTAGCTTTTGAGTTTTGACGGCCTGTGAGCCACTATGTTAAACAGATGTTATCTATGGATTATGAGTAGTTGAATAGTAGCCTCTGCATCTAAGTTCTTAGCTTAGATGTGGCATAACACCCCCAACTATTATGTTTAGCTTCCGCATTATTTTGGTATTAATGGTTAGATTTCATCGTATTTCTTAAGCTTAAAATGTTTTAAATTATACCAAATATCGGGGGTGTTACAGGTGAGGTAGGCTGCTGACGCGGTTCTGGAGGGGGAGGAGGAGACGTGGGTTGTGGTAGGGCGCTTCTTGACGTCCAAGATAGTGATGGTGGAGTATATGCGTCAGGTTATGGCTTCTGTATGACAACCGGTGAGGGGGGTTCAGATATCCGAGGTCCAGCCAAATCTCTTTTTGTTTGTCTTCTTCTACAAGTCAGACATGCTGCATGTCCTCGACGAAAGGTCGTGGTCTTTCGAAAATAATACCCTAGTTTGCCACCAGGTTAACGATGGTGTGCCCCCGGCCGAGGTTGTTCCGGACTCCGTGGATTTATGGGTGTAGCTTCATGATTTATCGCTTGGATAT